TTATTTCTAAGTCTTGTAACCTACCTAGTAGCCTAAACACTACTATAGTAGCTCTAGTAGTACTATAATATACGCGCATCTAATAGCTATAGTATTAGTAGACGTAACTCTCTACGCTATTCTATCTTACTACCTATAGTTACGTTACTACTCTTGCCTAATAGATCTTTAGATATAACTTCTATAACTAGTAACTAGGTAGAGCTCTATAGCTATAATAGTAATACTCTAAACTCTTAAACATACTCTACTAAATAGGTTCTTAACGTCTTTACCTTAGTAATTATCTTTAAGACATACTAATATAATATAGTAGATATTAATTTAGATAATTAAGACTTTAGACTAGTACCTACTTTATAATTTAAATATACTAGTAAGTAAAGCCTATAATTAATACTTAAAACTACTACTAATAATTAGATATTATTAAAGAGAATAGTAAAGCGCCTCTAACTTATATACAGAAGTACAGCAACAGAGTACAGTATATAGATATAGTATAATTAACTACTAGCGTTTTAGAGAGACAGTCTAGAAGTAACTAAGTGTGTTATTTACGCTTTTAGAAAGGCGCTATAGTCTACTAATATTATTATTTAGTGCTAACAAGAAGCTATCTACACTATAAGATATAGAAAGATTTATTATAACTATTATTAGCTATGTAAAGCTGCGTAGAGAAAAGGCTATTAGTACGCAAACTATATAGAAAGTAGTTAGCTATACTATTAACGCGTTAATCTTTTATTATTAAGACTTTAAGACTACTTCTTATAATAGAAAGAGACTTAATTCTCTAATCTAAACTATAGTGTTAGACAGAAAGTTAATAAATAATCTAAAGTAAGAGTAGCGTTAGGTAGAGATATAAATAGTTACAAGAATAGTATAGGCTCTCTACTAGAACGCCTTATTTAATAGAACTAGAAGCTAGAACATTACTCTTATCTATATGCAATCTCTACTACTATATACAGCTCTAGCCTATTGTGTTAGTAATATCTTATCTAGCTCTCTAGACTACTATACTCTTCTATTCTTTACCTATAGTAATATTATAATAAAGCTAAGTAGTAGGCGTAAGGTAGACTATTTAATAATATTTATTTAAATTTGTAACGCAAAGAGCTGTAAGTAAGTACTTACTAAGGCTAAAACTACTTAGTTTAGGCCCTCTAATTGCTAACTTTACTATTATTTAGAGACTAACTATTAAAGAATATAACTAAAGTCTTAAACACTATTAATAAGAGCAAGCTCTAACTACTATACTCTATAAAGATTATGCTAGCTATAGCACTTTACCTAGAATTTATTAAGAGTACATATATATTAGAAGAGGTAACAAAACTTATAGTAGATTATAGAGATAAGATAATTAAGTAGATAAACTCTATTTAGCTAGTGCTTTCTGCGTTATACGCACGTAGTAGTAGCCTAGACTTATTAAAAAGCGTATCTAATAAATAGTTTAGAAGATTTCTATTAACAATAGCTAGCCTTATAAAGCTTTTATTTTATATTAAATCTTATAATATCTACTATAGCGCTGCGTAAGACTTTATAAGATTAAAATATTAAGGCTTTAACAAAACTAATAGAGCTATAAAAAAGCTACTAGAGCATTTATACTACGCTATATATATAGAAGTTACGTAGAGATATATAGGTAAGTAGTAGAACAATCTCTTTTGCGCCTAACTATATCTTAAGCACACTATTAATAGCGTAGAAGCTTCTCTTCTAGACCTAAATATACCTATTCTAGTTAAGATAAAATAAGGTATAAAAGATAAGAACCTTAAGTTACTAGTTAACCTTAACTATAAGTTTATCTTTAGGCTTAGCTCTAAAAAGCAGAGAGTAATAGAAGTAGTAAGGCTAGAGAGCGTAGGTATAGTAAGATAAGTAGAAGGTGTTATACTAACAGGTGCGCATAACAGACTACTAATTACTAAGGTTAATAAGAAGATAGTACACGCTAAATATAGTAGAAGCTAGTAGACTCTAGTTATTAATAAGAAGAAGAGTAATAGAGATAACCTAATAGTAGGCCTCTAAGTAGAGTTAATATTAGTTATATTTAGCCTTCTAGCTAATAATAGTAATAATAATAGTAATAGAGACGTTAATAAGAAAGAGTATAACAATGCTGTGTTAGAATTATTATTTAAAGATTTCGCACTGCTAAGTATAACGCCTAATAAGGCACTAACAGCACTTTTGTAATCTAGCTAGCTAACTATAATATAACTTACTAAGATAACTTCTGTATTCTTTCTCTATAAGCTTACATTAATAAATATTACTAGTAACTAAACTATAGTCTAAAAGAATAAAATAGCGTAGGTAGTATAATTAGAGACTCTTAATAGTAATAGTAGAAATTTAGTAACTATATTTTAGTATTACTATCTACGTTGCAATAAATACTCTTACATTTACTCTACACTAAATTAAAAGAATCTAGATATCTATTAATGTAGCTGTACAGCACTAGTAGCTACGCTAGTAGACACTTTTATAACTACTATAACAAAGTAGAACTTTCTATGTCTAAAATATAAGAAAGCCTACGCTACTTAGAGTAACCTTATAAGACATCTATAAGCACATAATTAGAAGAATAGTATTTATTCTTATAGGTGTAATCTAAATTAGGTTTACATTTCTAGAGAATTGTTCTAGAGATATATGCGTAATTAGCATCTAACTTAGAATAAAGTCTACTACATAGAATAAGTACTTTAGAGATCTAGTTAATAAACTATACTAGGTAGCGTATACTAAGTTCTATAGCGCTGCTACTAGCTACTAAGAAAAGTAAGTTTATTATTCTAGATAAGCAAGAAAGAGTATTATTATAAAAGAGAACTATAAGTGTATAGATATAAAAGAAAGATATTTTTATAATTCTTAATACTAATAAGTAAATAAGGTTATATAAAATTAATTAGTGCCTTAAGTCTAATTTAGAGTTATTTTTATAGTAAAAAGATATTAAAAGATATTAAAAAGTATTAAAAGACTCTATACTAGTCTCTTTTAAAACTACTAAAATAATTTTAATATTAATTTAGAATATATTACTATTAGTAATAAAGTTATTACTAGCTTATAAACTAACTCTATACTTACTTATATAACTTTTTAGTTTATACTATAACTAAAAATAACTAGAAATAATATAATATATAGTAATAGGTATACTACTAATAAAACTTACTATATTTATTCTTTATTAACTATAACTATAATATTATTTCTATCTACTAATAACTATAATATAATAACTATTCTATAGTTATACTTTTACTAGCTTTAGTAGAACTCTAATACTACTACTATTTACGTAATAATATTTACTTACTAAAAATAACTTATAAATACTTTATTTTTATTTTTTAATAATAACTATTATCTACTTTAAACTTTCTATTATACTTAGTATATTAATCTCTATACCTCTACTACCTCTAGTAATTAAGAACTAACCTACAAATATAAAAGCTACTACTATTATTACTACTTTTCTCTTTAGAACTACTATAGCTACTTCTAAAGCTATAAGTTCTTTTTTTATATACTATTATTCTATGTAAGACTATACTAACTACTACTTTCTAAAAATCTTTTTTAAGTACTTTTTTATTAAGACTAATACTAGTATTAATAGTATTAATAGTAGTAATATTATAGTTACTAGTACTCTTAAGGCCTATATTAAGTACTTATATAATATAGATTCTCTTCTCTACTAGCTATTATAGAATAAATAATACTATACTTAGCTAATAAGTATATATCTAAAGCTTCTTTAGTAGCTATATATATATTATTTATAGCTACTATCTTAAAAAAGACTATACTTAGCTTTATTCTTAAAAAGTTCTTTATTACTATATAACTAGTATAAACTTATAATAAGTAAAGCTTTATAAAGTTTAGATATATAAATAAATAAGAGATAAGTTTATAACTTTATAAAAAATAAAAAGACTTAAGTATAGTATATATATATCTTAAATTTTATAATTAAGTAGTAATAATACTTAAAACTTAATTAAGAAGATATTTTACTTTTATTATCTACTTATCTTATAATAATATATTAATATAAATAGTAGTACTTACTAATATATTTAAATTAGAATACTACCTAGCTATTATAAAAAGAGATAATAGCTAGACTAAAGACTAGATAATAATAGCGAGGGCGCTAACCACGGCTGTTGTCTAAGCCTTCTAGCTATCTCGACTTTTTCTCGTTAACGTCCCAACACTCGCTGCGCCCATGCACTAGCCCTGCATTTGAGGCCGAGACACTGCACAACACCTCCAACTGACCACTCCCCGCCTCGCTTCGCCCCAGACCCTTTGCGGGGGTACCCTGGCCGTGTGCATACCATCGTTCCTTCCGTCTCGACTAGAACACACCTTCCTTCCCAACACCCTCAACCGCCTGGTCAAAATGGGTATCCAGGGCCTTGCTAGGCGTCTCGAACCCTATGCGACGCGGCTTTTGCCCATGCACCTAAACGGCTACTCCGCCGTGATAGACGGCCCTGCGCTCGCCTACCACGCTCACAAATTGGCCCTCGCTTCAGCCGCTAGCGCCACCCGAATCCCGTCTTATGCAGACATCGTCGCTGAAGCACGCCGCTGGCTGTACTCGTTGGAGAAGAGCAAGATCAAGGTGTGAGTAAACCACAGTTGCTTTTCAGCGCCCGGACACGGAACCACCACGGCAAGCCAATAAGGTGCGCACATATGTTCTTCACTTCACCGCCATTGCTGCAGGGGTCGCGAAAACTTCACTTATCGTGGAGTCGAGATGGGAAAGTTGCTTGATTGCACTTGACCGTGACCGTTCTATGCACGTTATGCGAGTGCTGATGTGAGCTTATGTCGTCCACTGCTGATCGCACGTTCTCAGGTCTGCCATCTACTTCGATGGAGCCTTACCTACTTCAAAACGAGCCGAGAGACTGTCCAGGATGGAGGCGAACAACAAACGAGTGCAGCAATTCCGCAACAACTACGCTACCGTTTCTTGTCCTGTTCCCATATACCTAGGTTCCATCTCATACGCGTTCCTTGCGCCTGCACTGCAAGAAGCGCTAGTAGAGATAGATTCACCTTTTGCTACATATACCCATACAGTACCGGGAGAAGCAGATGACTGGTGCGCGTCGCACGCGAAAAAACATTTACGATCCATCATCTTTACGAGCGACACCGACCTCATTCTATACGACTATTCGGTATATACGCTCGTCGTGTTTCTACACGATGCAGACATCTCTACTGGTATCAAGGCGTACTTACCAGCAGAGATCCGAAAGCAGTTACAAGTGAAGAGTCTGGTGACGTTTGCATACACTCTTATCGAGAATCCACAAGATAGTACAAAGCTGCTAGCTCACCAAGCTCAAGATGTATACCAGAAGTCTCGCCGGTACATTGACTTCGCCAGCCGCTACATCGTGAAGAGTCCAATGCCTGTTTACCTCGATGAACCAGACTTGGTACGTCCGCCCCAGATCGACGTCCGGCTATCTGAATATGTGCACCAAACCTTCACCAACGACGAAAACCCGCACGTGTACTTGCCTTTACTTATTGAAGAGCCATCCCAGGCATCAGCATGGAACATAGGGTGCGATATCCGTAGACTGGTTTACAAGCTACGTGCGACAATAGAGCATACGGTAGTACAAGAGTACAGAAGAAAAGCGCAAGGAGTATCAGTCCAGGAAGTTCCCATATACCCTCGGTGTTTTGACCAGAGCCCAGTGGATGACCTGGAGTCGCAGATGCGCAGCCTGAGATCCTGGGGTGAGGAGAAGTCCGTCAGCTCACAGCTCCTATGGTCGCTCTTTGGTCTCAGTCTAGTGCTTACCGAACTCAACACGCCGCCTCCCATACCCTTGGTCCAGCGCGTACTGAATTGCGAGTTCGATAACAGCTGGGCTTTTGTGCACCTCACGGCTAGACTGCATGCTGCTCTCTACTCTCTTCGCATGTTACTCCAAATGGTCAAAGTCGCGAGGGCAATGATGGATCCTGACCCCATAATAATCCCTGAGGACCCACAAGAAGCTGAAAACGCCAGGCTGCGCAGGGTAATGTCCAATATCGCCGGTCACATGTCCGACTTCCCCTCGATACCGGACGTGATGGGTGTACCGGGGCAGGCAAAGCGCATCTTGGCCGAACACGACGTGCTGAAGGAATTGATCGAGGAGATATATACCTCTGCTGGTGTGGGAATACCAGAACAACAGCTGTCGAATAAGCAGAGGAAGAAGCAAATGAGAGAAGCAGAGAGAAAGAAGAAGAAGTTTGTCCAGAGAATGCAGGCGAAGCCGCAGGAGGGGAATGCGTACGCATTGCTGGGTGATGGTTGATCGTATATTCCAAAGATCGGCAAGAACAATGGTAATCGCTTCGAGACTGTCCACACTTCTTTCATTAACACCATCAATCAACTATCGAGCTATCAGCTGTCCTTGCTTCGTCGGGCGCGCACGCACAATCTGCGGAGAAACGATGTGCGATGTCTCAAGTTGGGTTCGCACGGTTTCGTTTGCGTTTCGTACAACCTTCGTCGTACTGACTTCACAGCTACAGAGTTTAACATCAACATTTAGCCGTAGTGACATACCGCGCGTTGTAAGCCCGAACGCCGCTTTCGGTCTACTAAGCACGCGACCACCGACCTTTAGCTAGGACATCCACGTCGATCATCCATCGCCACAAACTTGTTCATGATGTCGCCCCCGCCACAACCTGGAGTCGCGGCGCTATACGAACACGCTGTCATGCGTCCGCGTAAAGTCATGGATTGACTGTAACAAATATCGAGGGGGATTAACATCCGCGACGGACGTTCGGCCGAACGATTGAGTACAAGTAGAACGAGCAAGTGCTTGAAAGCGTTGCGCTACTACATGATCAAAACAACTACTTCTTCGCTATAACTTCATACCAGCATCACCACTATTAGGACAGCACAGCATATTTCACACGTCATGACTTCATCAACCTCCCACCCCCAAGCAGACACCCTCATCCGCGCCGGCACAATCGAGACACTCCAACCCGGCATGCCACCACAGCGCTCCATAGCCCTCCTCTCCGGACGCATCATCGCACTTTCCGTGGACCCATCCGGCCTAGACGACTTCATCGGCAGCAAGACCCAGATCATCGACGTGCCAGACTCCACCGTCCTCCCCGCATTCACAGATACGCATACGCATCTGATTCTCGCCGGATTGACCTACTTCGACGTGCCAGTGTACGACGTCAAGAGCCTGGATGAACTGTTTGCAAGATTGAAGAAGCGGGCAAGTGAGACGAAAGAGGGGGAGTGGATTTGTACGGCGACAGATTGGTTGGAGTATAACATCAAAGAGCAGAGATTGCCTACGTTGAAGGAGCTCGATGCTGTTTCTACCAAACATCCCATCATGGTTATGCGCGGTGGACATAACGTCGTCGTCAACTCGGTCATTACACAACTACTGAACGTAACCTCCTCCACCCCATCACCACCCGGCGGCCTCATCGGAAAAGAAGCAGACGGCAGTCTATCCGGCCTCTTCCAAGATTCAGCCACCGTACCCATCCTCAAACTAAAACCCTCTGCCACCCTCTCGGAACGAGTCTCCGGACTAGAAGCCGCAAGCCGTGCATACGCCGCAACAGGCACATCCAGCGTCCGCGACTGCTACGTCCCCCTTCCCGACCTAGACGCCCTCATCGCCACGCACTCCGCCGGCAAACTTGCCGTGCGCGTCCACGCCCTCATACCCGCCGTAGGCATGACCACCGCCTCACAAGTCGAAACCCTCCTCTCCAAAATGGAATCATACCGCTACCTCCAACGCTCCCCCTACCTCTCCGTCTGGGGCGTAAAATTCATGGTCGACGGCGGCATGGAAGCAGGCGCTGTCTCCTCCCCTTACCACTCCATCCCACCCGGCCGCGAAAAAGACGCAGATTGTAATTGCTGCGGCCTCCCCTCCTACCACGGGATGCTCACGTGGGAGAAACCGGCGCTCATTGAAGCCATGACCGCCGTTGTTCGGCGCGGATGGAAGATAGGAACACACGCGTATGGCGACCGGGCTGTGAAATTGGTACTGGATGTATACGAGGAACTCATGCACCGGTTTCCGTATTTAACACCTGGGACTCTGGTTATGGAACACGGAGGTCTAGTCTCACCCAGCGAGCAAATCCGAGCCGTAAACCTCGGTATCGCTACGACGATCCAGCACCCGCTCCTCCATAACGCAGCGGGTGTACAAGAAGTATACTGGGGCCACGACCGCGTATCCCGCACCTTCCCCGCGCGGACATGGCTGGATGCTGGTGCGCTGATAGCGGGCGGGAGCGACTATCCTGTTGGTAGTTTTGCGGCGATGCGGTCGGTTTGGGGGATGGCGTCAAGAGAGACTGTGGTTGGGGTGAGGGGGGTTGAGCAGGCGATTACCGTGGAGGAAGCGGTTGCGTTGCATACTACTAAGGCTGCGGAACTGCTGATGGAGGAGGGGGAGAGGGGACGGCTGCTACCGGGGTTTGTGGCGGATTTGGCAATTTGGGATGTCAATCCGCTGAAGGTTGAGGATCTGGATGTTTTGAAGGATTTGATGCCTAGTCATATATCCGTTGGAGGCAAGTTTGTGAAGACTTAGTGGGTTTGTGTGTTGAAGAAGTGAGAAATATAGCTGTCGAGCGCTTGTACGCCCATAGACATATATGAATATGGTATCTATGATCTCGAAGAATGATACGACGCCCATCTGGATGCCGCTATATTATCAAACACAAGGAAATTCGTCATGCACACATATCCATCCCCCATCCTTTCCTAACTACCTAGCAAAGTAATCCCTCGCCCCATCCCTACTAGGACTATACGGCGTATACTGCTGCTGCCCACCTCCCCCTCCTAATCCACTCCCAACACCCATCGGCGCAGCCCCACTAACCAACCTCCCCTGATCCCCTCCTCCAATCTCATAAGGACTTTCTCTACTATCCACGCCCCTCAGATCAAGACTGGGACTAGGACTGTATTCGCGCAACGCACTGGGTGTCTGGTGGTAGCCAGCAGGGTACAACACGCCCGGATCATCGCGCATAGTACGTTCCGAATCGCGACTCGTACTTCGCCCACGATCGCTGTTGTTGGTCGAGTTGTTATCGCGGCCCCAGTGGGAACCGGGTGTATCAGGCCTCCCCACCGTACTACCGCCGTACAAACTGCCCTCCCCGCCGTGTTCATCACTAAACTCAGGTCTATTCTTGTAATTCTCGAAATCCATATTCGATTCCGACACGAATTCAAAGGGGCCGGTACCTCCTCCTCCTCCACTCGAGATGTTGGAAGAGGCGGCGGTTTTACCCGGGTGTTCTTTGGACATGCGTTTCATGGTGTAGACATCGGAGAAGGCGGCGGTGTCGCCGATGTCGCCGTCGAGGCGGCCGCGGTAGACTTCGGCGAGGAGGTGTTTGGATTTTTCGTGGACCATGGGGACGGTGAGCTTTTGGTAGAGGGCTGGGTGGCTGCGGGAGAAAATGTTAGTAAAGCGTCTTTTGTCGTTGCGAAGTGAAGATGGACTTACCCGAATCGCACGGCAACGCGATCCCGCCGACGCGATTCCTTGTCTATTGGGGTTGGGGCTTCGGTGCCCTTGGCGCGTGTGCCTTGCGTGTAGTATTTGAGCGAGTGGTCGAAGGCGTTCTTGCAGTAGAATTTGAATGCGATTAAGCCGAGAGGGAGAGGGGCCATGGCGGCCAACATGGTCCATTTGTGTTCGTAACCACGGGCTACGACCAGCAGTGCAACGATGCAGTTGGAGAAGAAAGTGCCAACGAGCATGCGGTTGAAGAGCACACGCCAGAAGGCGCCACCAGATTCGTTCTTGGTGCAGAAGACGTACCTAAGAGAGATTAGCTAGAGCATATGAGGAGAGAAGGGATGAGTCTTACATCAGAAGATACTTCTTCATCCAGCTATCGAGCGTAAAGTAAATCGCCACAATAACCAGCGTAATCGGCTGCAACGGCGCAAAACACAACGCAACCGTCGAGTAGAACAAAAAGTAATTGTAGTAACTCGCATAGTCAAACGGCGGCGGCGCAGTCCGACTAATCAGCTCCCTAGGCGTCGGGTTCAAGAACTTGCGCGAGAAACTGCCCCACGCGAGGTTGACCGCTTGGGCAAGATCGATAGCAGCGCCCAAGTTACGCTGGACGAGCCAGGTAACCCAAAAGGGCGAGACTTCGCACAGCGTACGCATGGTCGTGTCGAAGAACTTGATTTGGCGTAGGATATCCATGAATGGAACGTGTTCCTGGGTGGCGAGATTGACAATCATGACAATCATACCAAAGACAGCGCTGAAGAGCGAGAAGACGAACAGGTTATTGAAAACAAAGAAGGCGTATAATTGTGCCGTGACATGGCGCTCTCGGGATGTCTTGGTCGTGTCTCCGGCCTTGATGGACAAGCGACGGAAGATGATGGGGAGGAAGTAGTAAAAGAGCGAGGTAAGTGCCGGAGCTGCGAGACCTTGAACGACGGCCCAGAAATCGGCGTGTGCGGCTAGTTCGGTCTGGAAGGTAGGCCATACAAAACCCAGGTTGGAGAGCTTGGACAGGAAGACGGCGATCAGGGCGTTAGGGATGAAGTACAGGAGCGTAAGCAGGGTGATCCAGAAGTTGTTCACGGTCCTCCTCCAGCGTCGCGTCTTGGGGTCGAGGGTAAGGTTTTTCCAGATGATGTCCTTTGGCTTGGGTGCGAGTCGGACGGTGGTGCCTTTGACGTGCTTGCTGCGGGCTGCGAAGGCGACCATGTGCGCAGAGTCGATGCTCTCGTAGCTGGCGAATCCGTACGAAAGAGCATCACGCTTGTCGATTGTCTCCCGGACCTCCTTGATCTTGCTTTCTAATCGCTGAATGCGCGCTGTGAGGTAGTCGATTGCATCCACCTTTTGCGCCTTATCGGTAAACTCTGGGTCTTTCTTCGAAGGAGTACATAGCGGTCGCTCGGCGGGTAATTTGTTCGGGTTCTTCAAATATTTTGCCAATATCTTCTCCAGCTCAATGACCGCCTCTTCGTGTGCCTCGATAAGATCTGGGACGTCCTTCACGTTGCGTCCGATGGACGCGCGGGGCACCTCCGGCGTAGTCTTCAAGCTATCCGTAACCTCGACGATGCCCTGGTCACTGCGAAAGCTGCGGTCGATATCCGTAACCATCAACGTCCGCGCGTGCAGACTGTTCTGGTAGTCTGGGTGCTCGAGATACTGGCGTCTCATCCGGTGTACAGCGCGGTACATCCACCACAAGAAGCCGCAAACGATGATGTCGATAAGGTATGCCAGCACTACGAAAGCCCAGAAAACCTGACCAAATAGATCTCTAGGTGTCATCAGGAAGATGATCTTGCCGCTCATATCTCCGTCGAAATTCTTCTGAAATTCCACCGACTTGATGACGTTGACAGGAACGATAATCCCACAGCCAACGATGGCGAGTACGACAAACATGTTCCTGCACATGCGCGCAAAACGCAGGAAGATGGTCGCATCCAGTCCGATCTTCTCCACATATTCGGGTTCATTTGTCTTGAACACAGGCTTGTACCACGCGAACAGCGATTTGTCGAGAGGCGGCGGTCGGTGTTTCTCGTCGGTGTGGCGGAGACGGGGCGCGTAAACGATAGTATTAAAAGGACGTAGTAGGAGGAAAAGTATGAAAATGGCGGCGGTGATGCCAAAGGATGTGCCGATAGCGACGAGGACGGAGTCTTGGGATACCTGGGGGTGTTAGAGTCGCATGCGAAAGATGGGGGCTGCATGTACCGAAGCGCCCAGGGCATTTTCTGTCATCAACTGCTCGAACTTCTGCTCTATGCTCAGGTCCCGCCGGAGCAGCACGTTCGATACTGTGGATGCCATAGCGAGGGACGGGTGTAACGTGTAGCGAAGGTGTGGTAGCGATTGTGGTAGCACGTGTGACGGGTACACGTGGTATTGGGGGTCGATCTTGGGTCCGAGAGCTCAGCGCATGTCTTCCTCGTGTTCCCCTCTCTCACTGGGATCCGAGTAAGATCTGCTGTATCGTAAAGATCGCCGTTGGTCGTATTCGGGGTTATTCGGGTTACTGCGCTTCACAAGGAAAAATGACGAGTGGGTATACGCGCAAAGCAGAAAGAGTGTACAAAGCAAAGTGTAAGGAAAGCCAAGAGTGAAGCAAGCAACGGCAGCAGTAAGCAGTAACGGCAGTGAGAGAGAGTTCAGAGCTACGAGCAGTGCCTCGCGTCCCTTGCCCGTGAGAGCGGATGGAAAAGGACCGTCGATCCCTGTCGTGCCCTGTCAAGATGTCGGCGCTAGAGGGAGCTGTGACGCCTCGCCAAAGAGGAATCCTTGCCGACTTCATCAGGCACGCGCCTCTATTGGACGCCCCGACGCGCCGTTTTAACGCCGGGTACGCGGCTCTGCCATGGCATCTTTGGCGGGTGATTTTTATTTTTGGCTTACAGGGCCTGGCCAACGCAGGTCTTGGATTTTCTAGAGAGATCGCCCCTTAGCTAGTAGGGTCGGAGTAGTTTGCGGAGAACAAGACAATGGTCTCGAGAAGCTCCCGTACTGCAGCTACACACCACCCACTGTCAACGTGTGGGTTGAGACGATTTTCTTGATGCGAGTACAATCTCCTTAGCAGCGACTCATCCACCAAGACGAGATTGCGCGCAATGTTTCAACACACTAACCACCCACTCGCGACACTTCATAAGACGCCTGACAAGGTAGAGAAAGGAGCGAGAATTCCACCGCCTCCCCTCCTCCTCCCCTCCACCTCCCCCACCCACCCATCTGGCCAGCTGCCCTAAGATTTTCCAGAGAGATCGCCCCTTAGTGAGCTCGGAGTAGTTTGCGGAGAGCGGGAAAATGAAGCTGCGATGCTTTTGCACTGCCACGCGTTCTCACAACATCGATGAAGTTTATGTATCGTGACGTTGATGCATAACTCGACGAATAACAAGCGGAAATGTGGCGGTGCGTTGCGCAGGCGGCTCTTCGGATTTGATGAGGCTTGTCCAGTCCACTCTCGTCTCAAATATGCATGTTTCGGACGATATGAAATGGGCCACGTTTATGCTTGGAGATAGATCGTGGGTTACGAGGAGTTTTATTGGGTGCGCCGATGATCCGTGAACTCGGTGCTGCCGAGATCCTGCCAGCGGTGAAATGCGATGTGTGTCGGAAGTGGGGAAGAGGGAGAAAGAACACCGAGCCATCTCGAAGGTGTCTATGATCTCTAAGCTCTTGGTTGAGTCGCATTGAAGGGACTGAATCAGAATCGAGGATACTGGACCATATCATGTCGGAATGACTGAACCAGTGGGAATACCTCAGCCTGAACTAGACATACCACATCTAAAAGCTGTAGATTGCGTTTGATCATCTCCTCAGCCTAGGTACGCTTCCGATTCAAGCAGAATGATCTTCGCAGTGCTATGAATACGTTCCGAGTGGTGGATCTCGATGGTGTCGATTTGAGAGGACTTTCAAAGGCCCTGTGGTAACAAACCAGGCACCTACCACCGCAATCGACGGGCTTTCCGCAAGTTACCCGATTCGGACATGCCTGCCAAACCAACCAGAGCACAACACCACCAACA